ATGGGGAGCATGGTGGTGGTATGGGGGAGGGGGCGCTGGGCAGTGGCGGCAATGTTGAATGCCCACTGATGCTCTCGTTCGAGATGCCAGATGGTGGTGCAAAGTGTGAGTGGGACAATGAGGGCGAGGGTGAGGATGGAGAAGAGTGTGGTGAGGAGGAGGCCCAGAAGGGCTAGGAGAAGGAGGTGGGGGTGCTCATCGACAACAGCAAGGGTGACGGTGGTGAGGGGAGTGACTTGGTTCACCACTAAGTAGATCAGTAAAGGGTGTGGGGGTGAGTTCTATAGGGGACATTACTTGTACACCGTTGTTGGCCCAGTTGAGAGCTTGTTTGGCGATGGGGGTATTGATGGGGGTGGGGTTACGTTCAAGATTGATCTTGAAGGTGTATGTCTCCTTGATAAAGAAGACGGCAAGAACGAGGATGAGGATGAGGAGGGCAATAAAGAACCAACTGAGGATGAGAAGAGTGACGAGGAGGGTTGTGGAGGCCATTGGAGATGGCGAGTGGGGTCAGTTCTTATAAAGAGTCACCCTTTGTTTGGCTGCAGGAAGTCTGCCAAAGCATCTTTGGCATGTGAAAGCTTGGCTTTCGGCAGCCAGGAGTCATCCGAGGGCGGGTATCCTTTCCATCACACCCAGTACAGCGTTCATTTGCCAACTGTCTTTGAATCAATGATATGTTCAATTTTGAACTCTTCCTGGTTCTTGATTAGTTCCGGTGGAGGCCGGAGATAATTCTTTCCATGCATTGTTGTTTCCAAATAAGGATAGAGTAATCCTGCGTGGAACACAGGGTGAATCTTCTATTTAGGTGGTAAATTCAGCCGATAAATTGTTATGCGCAAATTCTGCTAATGGCAGGTGACTGGTCCAGTCAGTTGCTCGGTGATTGCAAAAGATCTGAAGATACAATTCCAAGTCTTGGTTGACATGTTCTGACTGTCCATCAGTTTGAGGGTGGAACGCGCTAGAGATGTTCTGTTTGATGCCTAATGTAGTGCATAATTCCCTGAACATTCATGATGCAAATTGGGGTCCTCTGTCAGAGATCGCTTTGACAGGTAGTCCAAATCGTCGGAATACATGGTTCTGATACAGGGTGGCAGTTTTGGATGCTGTGACTGTCTTGTTGCAGGGTATGAATACCAAACCCTTGGTACAATCGTGATCACTTACTACCAAACAACTGTCAAAGCCATTGCTCTGAGGTAGGTCCGTGATAAAGTCCATAGCGATGGATTGGAATGGAAGGTGATGTTCCGTTGAGATGGGTACTAGATCTGGTGAGTTCCTATGTATGATGACCTTGTTTTCTTGGCAAGTTGCGCAGCCAGTGACGTATTCACTGACGTCACGTGCGAGAGTGGGCCACCAATAGGTTCTTTGGAGGATCTCTTGTGTTTTGTATCATCCCGGGTGTCCTGTGGTAGGGGAGTCATGAGCTTGTTAAGGGACCTAACGACTGAGGATCAGGAGTTCAACTGCTAAACTG